CTGTCCAGTTTTGCAACAGGCCCGAAGTTACAGGGCAGTAAATGCAATTTTGCCTAATTATTTAAACCGAGCATAAATTATGAAAAATTAAAAAATATATTAATGATCACTTATGCATTAATTTTTGTCAAAAATATTATCCGTCCTATTCTCTATGCTCATTATTAAAGCTCTACCAAAATGCCGTACCAAGTCATCAATACTACCTTATCCCCAACCACGAGCATGCTCCCTTCCAACCAACCTAAAGACACTATCACCTGACTTTCAGATCAATCAAACAAATTGTACACAGAAAAACATTAAGAAAAATAAAAGGTTACACACACATAAAGTTTACGTTCCAACACTGATCTATCCAAACATACAAATGAGGCGATTAATAGTGTTAAAATCCCAAGTACACTACCACAAGCAAACATAGAAAACAAACATAACGAAGCCCGGCCCAACCTGGGCACAGCACTAGACCGTGGGCAACGAAGAGCCAGCTAGGCCAGGCCCAAACATCCCGCAGCAGGGCCCAGCCCGAGGGCTGCTCCCCGCACTGCTGTTGGAAAGGCACCCGAATGCGCCCATCTGGAGGATCCCTGTCGGTGACGACCCTTCTTCCCACGTGTCCATGGGCTTGACGACCCCCTGGCACTCGCCCAGGGCCTCCCCAAGAGGGCCCCCCACGGCAGGGACCAAGCCCAGGCCTAGGCCCATCGAGAGGTTGGCATGGGTCCCTTGGGGCCAGCTGCTTATGAACTGCCTGAGCGGGTGCTTGCCCGTCTCGTCTTGCAGCTTGTTATTATTATTTAAGGTTTTGAAGTTGAGGATTGACGAGGTTTGGTTTAGAGGGTTGAGTAGGGAGTCGGAGCAGACTAATCCAAATTCATCTTCTTTCGACTTGTGTGCCTCGCCTTTTTGGTACAATGGCCCATCTTTATTTTCTGCAATACCTCTGAAAGACACGGTGGATATGGTAACATAGGAAAATTTACAACACTTTCTCGTTCTGTTCCATTTTTCAACTTAGAGTTGAGGCACCCTAAATGTCACTTGCGTATACAACCAATATATCATCATACACTAATATATGATATTCATTTGTACTCGCTGCACGCTAGAAACTAGACGACCATAGGTATAAAGATATTCATTTTTTCCTTTGGAGAAGAGAATTTTTTAAATAAAGAAACAAAAGAATGTTAGGAAACTCGTACTCACCGGTTGATATTGGGTATTCCGGATGGATGATGATTATTGTTATTGTTATTGTTATTGGTGGTGGTGGAAAGAGGGGCCGATTGGCCTTCCACAGGCTTTCTTGAACGATGGCGGCCTCTGTTGATGTGGCGCTCACAGTACTTTTGGTCGGCAACAACCTCCCTTGAGCACCGCCATTTCTTCCCGTCCGTCCTCCGGCACCGCCCGGGCTCCGGGTCTGTGCTCCCATATCCCACCTCTAAACCAAACCATCCCACTGTACACGTATATAAGTAAATGTTCCAATTGGAAATTAAATTGAAAATAATCAAGGTAAAAATGATTATCATTTTTGTAGATCGTTAAGTTTAGGGAACGTTACTGGAACTCCCCTATTGTTTCGACTGAATTGCCATTAGAGAAGCAAAAAACAAGAGCTCCAGATTAATTTTTTTGTCCTGCATTACATTTACAAGGGCTGGTGGGAAAATAAAATTTCTAAAAAATATAAAGTGGATCTTTGAGCTGCTTCCTGATATGAGGGGGGCAAGGGAAGATAAAAATCATGCTTGAAGGGTATGCTTGCAATTTCAGACAACTTATTTACTGGCTAGTTTGTCGTCAGCCGG